CCCCCGGGTGTGTGTGCCCCCCACACCTCCCCATACCCACGATACAGGTATCCCGGGCTCTCCAGAGCTCTGGTACAGGGTTAGGTCCTCACACAGGATATATCTGAGCCTTCTGATACGGGTGGATGAGCGGTACCTTGCGACGCAGCTCAGTCCTGCCACTGTTGTCACTTCACAGCGATATTTCCAGCTCCCTCAGCCCCGTTTAGGAGACGGGGGTTTGTAGCCCCCGCGCTGCTCGTGCCAGCCCTGTCTGTGAGGCTCCCGGGCTGGCAAAGAGGGTGCATCTGCGCAGGGAAAAAGCAGGTGAGGTGCTCTGCTTCCCCTGGGCTTTATCAGTTCAGAGCTTCCTCGCGCGGGGAATCTGCGGTTTGTCTCTGCAACCAAGGGAGCTCCCCTGGGGAGGAGGATGCTGCGACGACGGGGCGGCTGGTGGGAGGCCCAGGGCACCGGCCGCTGTGAATCCGAGCAGCTCTGCCAGCCTGCGTGCTGCGGGCAGGCTGGAGCACTGGAAAAAAACTTTTTTTTTTTTTTTTTTTTCTTTTTTTTTCTCTTCCCACTTTTCGCAGTGGAGATGCTCTGAAACTGCAAGTTATTTGCAAAGAGGAGGAAGTTGGCCAGAAACGGAATTTGTGAAGGTCTTAGTCTCCTCCTTGGAAGCTCCGGCTGGTAAATAACAACACCACACTCTCTGTGCACTCGTGCTGGTGCCTCCCAGTTCATTCTGACCTTTGCTTGACTTCAAAGACAACATAGATGGCTGATTTCAGACAGAACCTGAAGATGAGCCACCAAGATAAAAGGCAATTAGATAAGCATGTGAGAGTCTCTCTTGCTAACTCTTTTTTGAAAATACTTCAAGCCTAACTGGAAACCAGGAGTGGTGATGCAGACAACGAAATCCCACACCCACCATCTGGAGCCTGGTGATGACTGTCAGTGCCTTTGGGTGTCAGACAGAGGCTGCTCTGCTGTGCCAGTGCCTTGGGCACGTGTGCGTCCCCTCAGCCCGACACGCTTCCACCAAAGCGTGCCTCAGTGTCCCTTCCTGCTGCAGCAGCAGGCTCCTTGGCCATCTCTTACTCTTTCCCAGAACCAGGACCCCCAGCTGGACCCTCCCCTCTTCCAAAGCTCTCCCCCATCGCCTTGGGTTTGTCTTCAGCTTCGGAGAAATGTCACAGAGAGACTGCGAAGGGCATCGCGGGGCTTCGGAGTGTTTTGCAGCTCTAGACCCAGAAGAGGCCTGGCTCCAAGCAAAATGACAAAAGCAGCATGCAGCTTCCTTCCTGAGGTTCCCCACCACCCAGGACTTGCCTCTGAACTTCATTTAATGTCTTCTGGGAGCGTTCAGGACTGTCGTTGTGACCTTGATGACTCTTTCCTTGTTATGCCCTGCGCTGTTGTGGGACCCCTGACTTTGCCCCCACTCCTGTGATGCTGGCACTGGGCTGGCTTTATTTTAGCCACATCCTAGAAGCCTCCTGCCATGGCTTGGACTTGGGCTTGGAGAGCCTTTGGGCAGGTTC